AGATTTCTTGGCGAAGCTTGGCACTTAAGGGTTTGAGAAAATTACGGAATATAGCTTATGTACGAGCAAAATTATCTACATCAGGCGGATGAATTTTGGGAAGCAAGTTTTCCAACAAAAAGCTTTTTTGTTCTTCAAAATATCTTGACAAAACTGTGCATTTAAAAGCCCAATACATATGAGCAAAATCTTTTTAACAACGGAACACTATATCATATGGCGTCTATATGCTCGAAAGTAAGGCTCTTGAATAAATCACTTCCAAGCCAATGTCTGCTAGGGTATTTCAACTTTGACGTGTCGAATATAGCTGTTGTTCTTTCTTGTTATTGCTGCTGTTGCTGTTGCTTTTACTGCTGCTTTTACTGTTACTGGTGCATTGCCATTGTCATGTACTTTTCGCAGTTGCTGCTGCTGCTGCTTCTGCTGCTGTCGCCTTGGCTTTTATGTCAGAACCGTTAATTGTTTCACGTTGAAATTGTCTACGCTTCTTGGCTATCTTCTGCCGGGCGGCCACTCGCTGCTGTCTCCGGTCGTTTCTATTAGTTTTAATTAAACACCTGAGCGTCCATCGTGCTAATTATTGTGAATGTCCATTCGTGGCATTTCGTTTTTAATCATAGTAATTGTTGGTGCGCTTGTTATTAACAATTAAATGTTGCCTTCTGCTTTTATTTTGTTATTGTTCTAGCTCTTGCTTTTTTATACACATACATATATATATATATTTTTTTTTGTCTGTTACGCAGCCCAATTTAGCATTTAATCAATACAATTAAAGCCTTGGATCTAGACTGCGAACATCATTAAAAGAACTGCCAAGACAAAGAGAAAGAGACAACGGCAAAGACGACAATGACGATAACAAAAATAAACATTAAAACAGAAAAAAAAAAAATAAAAACAAAACAAAAGAAAAAAGCAACAGCGATAAAAGGCAGCCAGGCAAGAGACAAAACTTGTTGGGCGAGTCTCTATAGCTGTCCGCCTGAGAGAGATACAAAAGCGGGATTAAAACTTTTTTCTAGCAACCAAAATTTAAGCCACACATACACTAGAGAGCGAGTGGGAAAGAGAGAGAGAGAGAGAGAGAGAGAGTGAGGGGGTGAAGGTAGAGAAGCTCAAGTAACGCACCCGCGCACACCCCTTATCTATGGCACAAACAAAAAATCCTACAAAATGCGCACACCAAATCCTAGGGCAGGGGCAATAAAGGCAGCGGCTGCAAGGGGGAGGACTTGAGCACGCTGTGTGTGTGCGTGTGTGTGTGAGGGGCGGGAGCAGAAGTGAAGCATGGCAAGTTTTTACGCAAATAAACGCACGTTTTTGCACAACTTTGCGCCACTTTCATTTTGTTTCGCTTTTTTTTTTTTTGTTGCCCCTTTTTTATATGCTACACTTTTTGTCTCTTCGCTCGCGCGTATGTGCATGTGTGTGTGTGTGTGTGCTTTTGTTGGGCTTCCTGTTTGACTTGTTGTTGCCAAATTCTGAACTAATGGAAAATAGTAATTACAATAATTTTGTGACTGCTTTTAAGCCTCCATCTATTTCTGGCTTTTTGGCATTAAAAATGTGCATAAAAAATAAGAACAAGAACAAAAAATGCAAAAATACAAACAAACAAACCAAAAGCAAACAAAACAAAATAAACATAAAGCTATTATGGTTTTAAACGAGTCAACGTCCCCCATTGGGTGGGATGGAGAGAGGGGGGGGGGGGGGGGGGTTGGCTCTGGGGCGGCAACTTGTTTTGGGGCTCGTCTATTTGTGTGCGTGCTGCGTGAAAATTAATAATAAATCAAAATTAAATGTTTGCTTACTTGACACTTTGGCTTCCTTGCCTGGCCGTGTGGCTCGCCGCTCTCGCTCTTTAGCAGCTTTGCTCTTTCTCTTTCTCTTTTCTCTTTTCTTTATTTTTATTACTTTACGCTGCTTTTATTTTTGTTTATTATTATTTATATGCGATGCTGCTGCTGGTGACGTTCAGGTTCAGCTTCTGTTGTTGTTTTTTTTTTTGTATGATTATTATTTATTTTTTGCCTGGCTTGTAAAATGTATTTACCACGCAGCCCGAAGCCCAGTCAATTGGCTTTTGGGTACTTTCAAAATGTTGCAAAATGTTTAACAGGCAATTAATTTTATGGTAAATCACAACAGCAGCAGCCGCAGCAGCAGCAGCAGCAACCACTGCAACAGCTGCCAACAACAACGACAACAAAGAAAGCGACAACAGCAGCAACGCATTAAATCGTTTATAAATCACTTTCGACCACTTGCACATACATTCACACACGCCCACACACACACACACACACGCCAACACACGCACACACACATACACACTGTTATGAGCTTGTGTGCGTATTTCATACTTTTTGGCAGCGCAATAAAATACCATTAAGTGTGCATCGGGTAGAGCTAAGGGCAAAATAAGTTTCAATTCAGCAAACAATTAATCCGCGATTTCATTTCAAACCAAAAAAAACAAAAAAATAGATGTGCATATGTATGCTATAAGTCTGGGAGCTTATCAGCGCACCAACACGCAGCCCAATTTTCATTTAAATAAATTTAAAATTTTCTTGCCAGCTGCACATTATGCTTGCCCTTCAACTTTTCCCTTGCACGATTTTTTTAATAAACGTTTTTTTTCTATAGTTTCTTAGCCATAAACTGTTTGGCCATCCGGTTAAAAAAAATAAACAGAACCCGTTCCGTAGTCAGCTTCCGCTTTAGTCTCGGTTCGAAGTTTCTCAAACGGAAGCAAAGATCATGTTTCAATCCAGGCTGCGGCATTATAATTTAGCTTTAACTGGAAACCGCTTCTTAAAACAAATAAATTGCCCTGAAAACATTCGAAACGAAAGTCTACACAAAACTTTTGAAGGCAGATCGAACCCTAAAGTTCAAACAACTTTGGCCCGAACCCTTGTATCTAACCAAATTTGGTAGATGCCAATTTTTGGGTTGAAATCTAATTTAGCCCGCATCTTGTATATGAAAATATCTTTAACTTGCAATACTTTCAGCAAAGCGGGCTGCAATAGGCAAAAAAAAAGTTGGCTTCCTTCACTAAAATTTTGAAATTACATAAAAAAATAGAGTCTTACCCAAAGCCTGAGTTCATGGAGGTGAAAAACCAGCTACCCAAATCCTGCCAGCCAAAAGCTCTTCTGCATTTCAATTGAAAAGAGATGAAAACTAAAGAACTAGCTTTAAGGAAAAAAACTGTAAATTGAAAGGAGGTGAAAACTAAAGAACTAGCCTTAAGAAAAACTCGGAAAATGCTGCTAATGGATTAGTTATAAGACCTGGTTATACTTCCCACCAGTTATCGTATACCTCAACTATGTGAAAGCGATTAATTGCAAAAGAACTCAAAACTAATTGACTTTTGTTGCAATTTATTTTATTTTCGTTCACTTTGCCCAATTTGCATGTAAATATTATTTTTTTTCTCCTGGGAGCCTTTGCAATTAGTAAAAATCAATTTCTATGTTAATGAAGATAATTATGAAGAAAATTCCTGCACTCATTAAGGATGAAAAAAAAATCGTTTGGAATTTCGCTTGAATTGCTTTAATTGAATAAATCAAATATTGTACGGTATTTCAGTATCAAAACTATGCCAAGTATTTACTTTCACAAAGAAATCAACGCAAAAGAAACATTTTTGCCATAATTAGGCATATGAATATAGTTGACGGTATTTCAGAATAAAAACTGTACAAAATATTTACCGAGAAATCAGATATGATAGTAAAAGAAAAATTGTTGCTTTGATTAAGTATCGAATATTAAATAAAAAATTCGAAACGTAAAAAATGGCGAAAGTATTAATTGGCACAAAAAATGATTGCTTTCATTGAGGATACAATTTCAATAATTATGCCAAATGCAGAAGCATGGAGCAGAATGGCAGACCCGGATGGATTCCAGATGAGCTGTTTGTACGAGAAAGTTCTTTGGGCAGCGGAACAACAAGGATGCGAACTCGAAGCCCAGCCTAATAAGACCAAAATCCTAGCCAAAGAACCAAAGAACATAAGAACTGGCATCCAAAGCTAGTTCAGACAGACTTGGGTACACATTATGTAACTATCTGAACGCTTAACTAGGAATAATGATATATCATAATGATATATAGAATAATCAGTATATTCAGCTTTAAAAGAAAAACTTGAAGAAGTTGCAAGCCACATGGATGAACTCCTTTCTAAGGAAGTCCTTAAGAGAGCTGCCCAGCTATGCAGTTAACAATTTGTTTGAGCCCCAAACAAAGTTTAACAAAGAACAAGTTAATAAACGTTCCTCTAAATCTTCTTTTACATTTCGTATTAGTTGAATAGCTTTTTCCTATTTAAATATATTTTTAATTTGTTAAAATACCTTCCGTATAGAAACAGATCTATAAACAGAAGATCAAAAGATCAAGAAATCGGAAGAGTTGGATTGCTCCCAAATTTCTCTTGAAATTTCTTTGATTAGCTAACTAGTGGCTGACTTAAGTATAAAACTTCATGAGCGCTAAGCTGTGGACAATATATTTAACCGAAACGAACATCATGTGAAAGCTTAAAACTCAAAAATTGTTGGAAAATATATCTTAGTAAAAACACTTTTTAAAAAACAGCTTCAATAATGTTATTATTCAATATCGAAATGTGCAAATATACATGATTTTTATGTTTTTTTATTGAGTTTAAAATTCACAGCTTCTTAAAAAAAATACTATAGAAACTTATTTGGATTAAAAAAAAAGTATATCCTGAATCCCATATAAATCAAATCTTTGAATTTTTTATGTTTTTTTCAATCTTCTTTTTTTGCTTTTCTTTTCTTTTTGCATTTATCAACTTGATTTATTTGTTTTTATCACTTGGCATTTTATTTATGCGTTCGCTTAATTTATTGCCTTGCCAGCATTAAAAAAAATTTAAAAAAACATATATTTTTTAACACATTTAAAAAAAAATGCAATTTGAAAATGTTGCGCTCACCGTTAGATTCAATTCACTGCGAGATTAACCGTTAAACTCAAATTGCACACTGGAAAAGTCGACTTGGGAAATGTTGTGTTGGTTTTGTGCGGGTAAAAAAGTAATTCTTTTGAAATAATTCAATTAATTATGTTAATTAACTTTACGTTAAGATTTGAATTAATTTCTTTTTTTTTCTATTTTTTTTTTGTGATTTGATTTAGTGTGTGTGTGTGTGTTTGATTGTTGGATTCTGTTCCTAACGAAAAATTTCAACTGGTTGTCGCGAGGCTGCTCGAAGCGGAGTGAAGTGTTGAATATGCTGCACGGCAGCGCCAACTCTGGTTTCTGTGGCCAGCAGCGACGACGATGTGCACGAGAATGACGCGACCAACGATGGCCACGGCTATACGAGCCAACGAGTCAGCCGACGATGGCGAGGACGATGCCAAACGACGGGACTGTCGAGGACGTGAACGCGGACGAGGACGAGGACGAGGATGAGGGCGAGGACGAAGTGCGAGTACGAGGACGCAGACGAGGCCGAACACGACGACGATGAGGGGCACGAGAAGGCGGCTCGAGGATGGCGTCTCGAACTCAAATCGCTTCAATTTCAGTTTGATGACACGGGCATGGCACGGCATGGCCTGTGCTGGGGGCCGGCGGCGGCGGCGGCGCGCAATTGCTGCAGCCTCATCAGCATGCTAGTGTTGGTGTTAAGGACATGGTCGTATCCTGTGCGTGTGTATCTGCCAGCAGAGACGCAACAGTGCCGACGTCGCCGTCGAGCCCTAAGCGGCGGCAGCGCCAGCAACAACAAGTGGAACTACATTTGGCCATTCGGCTTTGGCTTTGTGCATTCGGCAAAGCGCACACGCACACGCACACACGCCCACACACACACACACACACGGACATTCGTATTTTGTGTATTCGCTCTATGCGAATCGTTTTCGGTTTCCGCTTCGCTTTACCTTCATTTTTACAACAAGAACCCAATAACAGAAAATGCAGAAAGCACAATTTGGCAAAACAGCCAAAAAGCTTCCGCTGGGTGGCGCCACCAGCTTAAGCACGCCTCAGTCAAAGCAGTCAAAAAACTTAAAAACCAAACAAATACAACTAATAGTACTCTAGCCGAGAGTGCCCGACTATAAGATACCCTGAACCGCCTGCGCCGAGCTGCCGTTAAAAATATTCTAGCTCCTCTCTATGGATACATACACACACTCACACATGCACACACACCCATAGAAGCACGCCGCTGGCACTCAACTTTATGCTCCGGTTGTGCTTATTCTTTCCTTGGCCCCATTGAGCTATAACTAAATAAATAATAAATATATATATATATTTATTACTCAATGCCTTAGCCCGATGCTGTGGAAAAAGCTTTCTTGATTAAGCTCGGTGCTTATTGTCCGATCTTTATGAAATTTTCAGGTAGCATTCAAATGCGTGTAAGTTCCAAGGACAAGGAAAGTGCCTCGAAAAATGAGTTAACTTTTAATTTTGTGCTGAACGGAAAGGGCAATCCTAACATCCTTCATACCAAACTTGGTCTATCTGTCTTATGATTCCGTGCAAATAGGCTGGGCTAACGATGATATGTTCTAAACTCAAACGTTTCGTGCTCTTGAGGGGCCATTGTTCAAATGGTAAGGCTCTTTAATTATAGTTCCTGAATTAGACACTTTCATACGTACGGATAAACTGACGGACAGATAGACGGGCGGACAGACAGGAAGACAATCGCCTCGGCCATGGATGTTCACCAAGAATATATATACTTCAAGCGGTCGGAGTTGCTTCCTTCCGCCTGTTACATTCACTCACACAAAACCAGACTACCCTTTTGAGTGAATTTCAATGTGTACAGGGTATGAAAAGCATAAAAAGCTGTAAACACACTCACACATGCACTTGAGATTTGATAAGGCCAAATTTTGGCCACAATTGAATTGTTTTTGCTTTCTCTTCTCAAATTTTTTGCCAGCACTTTGCTTGTAATTATTTTATGCAAATGAACAGAGAACAAGAGAACAGAGATAGGATATGAGAGAGTTTGGCATTAGGTGAGTGCATGAGCAACAAATAATCCCCTTTGTCGTGATCTCTGCATTTCGTACAGAAATAAACCGACAAGTTGTTCAAATTTTCAGTTGTCTTTGGACTTTCGTTTAGAGAAGATCTATGGATTTGCTTTTCCTTAGCCGGTGCATTTATTTGGGCGATGGCAGCCACGAGTTGCCCCTCAACGGTGGCATCATTGTGGACACGGGCGGCATCATCAGACGCGGTAAGAGGAACGGCTCAATCTCGCAACCTTTTGCCCATTATAAGGTGGAAAAAATACTTATTTATATACTCATAGGCAGATGTTTGTGTTAAGTATGACACTTGTTTGGTTTTATTTAATTTTAGGTTTCTCTTGACTGCCAAAAAGCTATAGAGAGTGGGAATGCAGAGAGAGCTAAAATTGTTTGTGTTTATAGAACCAGCTCATGAATAGAATTTATTTATTATTCATTTCGTTCACTTCCAGTTCGAATGCTATCATCTCCAGGCTCGCAAACAAAGTGCCACTCGCTCACAGCCTAAACTGGTTGCGAATTGTAAAGCATGAAGCAGCGAAACGGAAGGAAAGCAACATCTCATTCTCTGTGTGTTTAACCCTAATGTACATGGAAATGTGTTAGTAAAGGAACTTCACACTCCATCAATGTATAAAAGGGTGTTAGGTCCCAAGCAGAAGTAGGCATCTCTATTAGTTTCACATATTTGTTATCAGCATCAATAGCTGAACTCATTGATCTCAGATCTGCTTTAACTTTCCGAGCAGATTAAGTTCACTCCACGTTGTCACAGCTTAACCCCTTTTTGATTTAAGTTTTTGACCATATCTTGGGGACTATATAATAGGCTAAAGGCGCTCGTATGGTATACACAATATTGCAGAATTATCTGAAAAAACACAGACGTTAACGCAGTTTTATCTTTTTAAATAAAAGCTTTAGTGAAAATATTCAATTTTGAATATGGAATTTTGTTTATATAAAAAGGGAAATATAAATAAAATGTCTATGCAGCAGATAGATAGAGAACCATTAGATTATTGTTGCAGCCATAAAACAGCCATAATACTTATTATAGCAATCAATCTCTATATATAAAACTGTTTGTCCTGATTGACTGACTAAATGACTGACGGACTTACAGACTCACTGACTGACTGAGTGACTGACCTACTGACTGTCTCAATGAGTGACTGACAGACAGACCAACTGACTGACTGACTGACTGACTGACTGACTGACTAACTGACTGACTGAGTGACTGACTGACTTATAGACTCACTGACTCACTGACTGACTGATTGAGTTACTGACTCAATGATTGAGGGACTGACTGACTGACTGACTGACTGACTGACTGACAGACTGACTGACGGACTGACTGACTGACTCACTTATTGACAAACTGACTGACTGACTGATTGACTGACTGACTGACTGACTGACTGACAACGAACAGCCCTAACTGTAAAAGCTATTTATATGAAATGTTTACTGTAATTACCCTATATGGTGAAGATCCGAGACGGGATTTGGCGAATTCCAACGAACAACGTTTTGTATTTGACTTTTATGTTTACCATCTGCTCGTTCTAAAAACTCATTTTCACACTTCTCGGAAAATGCATTCTTCCTTTGTGGAAATGAGGGTCAAAGATTTGGTGGGTAAGGCTTCGCGTTTCTATCATTTCCAAAGATCTTTATGAAAAATCATTTGAGACGTGTTTCACACTTTTTGCAGAATCCAGGCTTCCTCGGATGAAAATGCAGACCAAAGATTTTTGAGCGAAGATTAAGTTTTGACCGATCGGCTTCGAACTCACTTTCAAAGGCCTACATAAGAACTTTATGAATGCGTGTTTCAGCGATTTTGTAAATTCCACCCGCAACTGTGGAAATTTAGTGGACAACTTTTGTATGCAACTTAATTAAAACTTTTTTGATTCGCTTTTCTCGATATGCACTGCTCCTGGATGAAAAACATTCGCAAAGGTTTAATGCACGAAAGTTTATTTCTCGACTGCAAGGTGAAACAGGTTATATTTAAAAGGGTACTCACAAAATTGCCACGGGAAAGGCCGCGGAGTACCTGCGAGTATAATAGATAAATATATTATTATTAATAATATAATATAATATAGTATAATAGGTAGCAAATGTTGTCCTGTGTTCAGTCCTTCTATTTTAAATTTGTTCAGTTTTTAGTCAACCTGTTTTTATGTAAATGCGCTCCTGACATTGATTTAATGGAAAAATAGCTCGGCTACATATCTCTGAAACCTATTCAAATCAAATAAATAGATTTTATGTAGTCGTCTATTTGATTTAATCACAAATTGATTGTTTATGCACATTCATGCACTGTTTATTTAGTAAAAAAAAGGTATGCACTCTTAGATTGAAGTAAAGTAAATAAAGAGCATCACAATTTGAGGATCTAAAAACAAAAATGTAATACAGTGATGCATAAAAAATCGAAATGTAAAACTGCATGAATAAAAAAATAAAGCTTACTCACGGCTTTTATCCTAATCCATTAAAGTGAAATATTTTTTGTGCCAATAGCAAAATTCATTGCTAAGCTCGTCCATTTGCATTGAAAATTCACAAAATAAAAACCAATTCCAATTTCTCCGACAAGTTAATATTACTTGCAGCCACAGCGAGGGAATACCCCTAGACTGACGTACATACTTCAAGAAAAAATACACAAAACTAATTGAAAATTTTTGTTTTTGCCAAATGTAAACTTCAAATTTGATGAAACGTGCTCAAACGCATAAAATCGTGTTAAATGAATTACATTTCATAAAGGATTCTGAAAGTAAATCAATTCGATGCCAAGCAAAAAGTACAAAGAATTTGGGCTTTTGAGAAATTTGATCTTCCCCGAATCTGTTTTGAAATCACGTTAGACAAATTTTCATATATTGCAGATTGAAAAGCTATTTGCTTACACTATATATTGTGGGAAATATCGGAATATTGTATATTACATTAAATTAAAAAAAATCTTTAGGCCATCTCTCTCGTGCGCCGCTCTCTCGCTCTATCTCATGTTCATATTACATTTCCTTTCAGTCCTACGCACAGCGCAAGAGGTGAACACCTATCTATATAATACGGAATCGGAAGCTGTCTATGATTTTGGGGATCTTCTGCTGATGCCGGGTCTAATTGATACAAACGTGCACATCAGCGAGCCAGGCCGCACAGACTGGGAGGGATTCGTGTCGGCGACTAAGGCGGCAGCCGCCGGCGGGTTTACCACCATCATCAATCGGCCC